TATTCCTCCTTGAGACCACAGAAAATAGTGGAGTTGTAGGATCGTCCTTCCGGGCACAATGACAATTCGGAAATGCATTAATACAAGGGTAAAAAAAAAACAAAAAAAAAACTGCCAAGCCAGCACACCTTTTAACAGATCGTAACTTGAACTTTTCTTCTCTGGAAGTGCCTTAAAGGGATGGTAAACCAAAATTTTGATTTAAAAAAAAAAACAATGCTGGAGATGTAGGCGGGACGCTACAATCCCTACAACACTACTAGTAAGGCGATATCTCAAATGGACGGCCGTATTTTTGGAAAAAGAAGTCAAGATTGAACCAGGCCGACGAGGCGCGTGACTGTCGAGATACCTAGTTTCCTCCTCTCTTCGCTTCGCTCCCTCAAGGCCGCGAGGCGGAGAAGACGCGAGGCCGTTCCCTCTCCTTCTCGGAGAAACATGACGTCAACATTCCTGCCAAATGCGCCTCTTTTTTTGAAAAATACGGTCATTTGTTCTAGATATCGCTGTATGAGTGATGTTTTGGTGTTTGTAGTATCCCGTTGCACGCTTTTGCCGCGTGTTTTGGGGAATCCTGATTTTGGTTCAGCATCCCTTTAATTCATTAGATACGCCGTTGCTCGTCCGTTAGAAAGGGGAATATGGGGACCCTTGGTTCTCCGCCTCTCTGACACCATGGTATAAAACACTTAGAAGTGTTTGATCATAGCATTCGCGCACACGAAAACAAGATTCTTTTCGCCGACGGACAATGCGCAGACGCCTTGTCTCCGCATTTCCAACGGCTTTCTACGTTGCCCGATCGGGATCCTAATGCCTGGCTTTGCGTCGCTTGCGAGCCACGTGCAGTCTGATAAAGTTGCGACGTCGTCGCCTAACTTTTTTTAAAACTTTTTATTAGATTCAGTTGGTACTACCTATAGCACATTTCCATCTCTAACGCTCAGTCCGAACGCATCGGGAATGATGGCTTATAAAAACAGTGAAAAAAAAAGCTACCTCCTTGGGCCATTCGGATTTCGGAGTGCTTCGTCAGCATCGTAGCAGGTGCTCGGCGATGAAAACTCTTTGCTAGCTCTGCTCGCTTGGCCTAGGAGCGGTGACGTAGCTTACGTAACAAAAGAAGGCTCGCCCACCCCTAGGCACGTACTTTATCAGTCAACTGTAGAGCTCAATGATGTCGGCAATATACCGCGTCACGTATGACTTCTAGTATATGTACTCCATTTCGCGGATTACACACATCGCTGTCCAAAGGCCCGCGAGACTCTGCAAAATGTTTTACAAATATCCATGGCATAAGCAGAATGATCGAGAGTTTTGTGCTTATTCAGAACGCGTTCTCCAGCCCAGTACACAAAGACGGGGGTGAGCAGAAGCCACCGATTAAAGCGCTGGAAAGGTGTATATATGTGTGTGTGTGTGTGTGTGTGTGTGTGTGTGTGTGTGTGTGCGTGCGTGCGTGCGTGCGTGTGTGTGTGTGCGTGCGTGTGTGTGTGTGCGCGCGTGCGTGCGTGTGTGTGCGTGTGTACGTGCGCGTGTGGGTGCGTGGAGAGATACGGGAGGGGAGAAAGTAGTCCCAAAAGTGTCTTCGGCGCGCAGAGCGCAACGAGCGGCACGGCAATCAAAGGACAACACAGAGAACACGCAGGGAACGTGCGAACATCTCGATGGAAATAAATAATCAACGTTCGAGGACTCTTATCTGCCTTCTCTAGAGAGTTCGTACAGGGGCCAATGCTGACACCCTCGGGAATCAGCGAGACCAATCGTGGATGCTCAAACACCATCGGCGGCCGAGCCCCGTTGTGGGACAACGCGGAGGTGGAGCGAGCTCGAGGTAATCTAAACTCACGATAAGGCCCTCCGCGCTCTGCACTTCCGCATCGACAAACCCACATGCAAGGTTGGTGTGTCAATCAATAGCCACAGATATGGATGCGATTCTAGCGCATCGACTCGAGATATTGCAAGAAAGAAAATAGGCTCTTCTCCGTTGATGAAGATTTTGCTTATAAATATGGAACCATTTATTTAATGGATAGGAAAAATACAATTTTTACACAACTTGCCACATTACATAATTCAAGAATTAAGGGTACTACAGTCCTAACCTCTAGTGACTTGCCCTGCCGTCCTCCTCGACCACACCTCCAGCGGGTGACCTGACCACGGCCGAACTTGACAAACGAGGACCCACAAAAACGGGCGAGTCGAACTCCTCCACAGCCGTAAGGAACCCCAAGTTTGCAAGGTAGCGGGCGGAAGACCCCACAGCCGAAGGGCGTCGATCGGACGTGGAGGTTGGCCTCCAGAGGATAGGGTGATTATCCAGGCTTGATACTCGAGAACCTAGTCCTCGCAGTCAGTCAGTCAGAGTATTGAGAGGAGGAAATCAAAGGAAGTGTTGCTGAGCCGGAAGCTCAATATGTCACCTTTGTTTGGGGTGGGGGAGGGGGAAAGAAAGGTAAAGATAAGAGAAAGGTGGTTGCCCCAGAGTCGCGCCGCAAATTCGCGCCGCCGCGCAACGCAAGCCGCGCGAAGAAGCCCCCCCGGAAGTGTGCTTCTTCCTCATAGAAGTTGAGGCAGGGTCTTCCCTGATTCTTGAGATTCTTCTTAAGTCTTCCTTTAATGGGCCGCCACAAAATACACCAATGCCAAGCACCACCAAGGAGCCCTGCTGTACAAACCTAATGTTAAGCCGAATTAAAACCGAATCAGAATAGTAAATAAATAAATAAAATAAATAAAGTTGGGCCGGAATGATAAAAAATTGTGGCCAGGTGGGATTTTGCTCCCTTAGTCTTGCGCCGCGATTGAAGTGACAATAGCGGTAGCAATTTGTTACCGAGGGGCCCGCGCGTCCGAGGTTGTCGAGTCGCGCGGGCCGCCCCATAACAGGCGGCCATCCTAGGTCAGGATGGTCGGAGCTCCTGTGATTGAGGCCGCGGTGCGAGGGAACGCATCGCGGTGAGAATTCAGTTACCTCCGCTAGCGATGCAGAGGCCCCGCGAGCAAAGAGTCCCGCGCGAGAAGCTAAGTCAGCGCGAAGGACAAGGGAGCGGATCGCAAAGACAAAAGCCTCCGGGCGGGCTGCTTATATAGAGTTTAGCAACATTCTGGGGACGTACCTTGGCAACCAATCCCGAAGGGCCTCCTTAGTACCACTCAAAAGGTTCGGAGCCGAAAGCACACCTGAACATCCCGAAAAGCAACCGTATACACGAGACGAGAGAAAGCACGTTTCGGACGAAGCTCACAAGAGCAGATATAAACAATGCAAAGCACGTTCGAAGACCATGAAGTATACGCACGGAGCGAAACCACCTCCGAAGTGGAGATCCAAAATCTACGTGGAGCCTACACGTATATTAAAATGTTTTCTTTTTTTTCTTTTTTTTTTTTTTTAAGGACCGGTGTTTATCAGTTTTGAAATAAAATTACTACAATACACGAGCCTTGTCCTTTTTTTTAATTCTTTATTGCCGTCATTTTGCAATTGAATTTTTTATGTGGTTATTTTAGAGGCTAAACCAATTAATAAAAATAAAATGCGGTAAGGCAACGGAGTTCTTTTTATATATATATATATATATTTGTCGATAATTAGTCCCTTTTCTACGTCGCCTGATTTCGAAACTAAACGCAGCAGAAGCGCCGCGCAAGCTCTTCCCTCAATGCGCCCCGCCGGTGAGAGTGCAGACAACTTTCAAGCCGCAGCTGCTCACACATCATGCGCAAGAGGCGGTGATTGCTGCAGACGTGGTTACAGAATTTTCCGTGGACACGCGTCGCATATTCGAGACATGTTTTTTTCACACATGTGTACGCTTCGAACATGTCTGCAGGCAGTTTTTGCATGACCAATGTTCGGGACCTTTATACAAGAAAGGCACACGCCGCAGCAGACGGTGTGTCTTTAAATCGACCAAATATCTTTCACGCCAGCACATAACAACTTTTTTTCTTCAAAGTACATAGACGTTGAGCTTCGCTTCGACACAGTGGTGAATAAAGCAGAACCTTTTTTTTTTTTTTTCAACTAAAGAAGCAAAAAAGAAAAAAGAATAACGGACACCTAATTTTATGGAAATATATTGCCACTGCCACGCACTCTTCTGTTATTAGAACATGGAGACTAAAAAGAGCGACTTGGGTGAAATGCGCCAAAGACGGCTGAAAATACTTGTCAATGGAATTGAGTCGAGCAACCAACTAATTGATATTAAATTATTTAGTAGAAATACGTCTCAGTGATGCATTGGTGAATGAATGGTAGGTATCGCTATGAAAATGAAACGTGGCTTATTTTCTTCTCAGCCAAACACAACAATACCTTCTACGGTCATGGAAGAAATGTTCGTAAAATCAGGAAAATAATCACGTTAAAATTAAGTCTAAAGTACCATAGTACCAACGAATCAAAGTTTATGGAATGTCCTACCCATAAAGACCGTAAACATGAAAATATGCTCGAGGCGGAGAGGTAACCCCTAACAATGTCCCGCGTAGCTGCAAGAACATGAAAAAGCCACGATCCCCTCGATAAGTCAAACGGGACAGTTGGATAAAGGGAAAGTGCCAGGCCTCTCTTTATTGTGGGTGTAAACATGCCCCACCCCTCGCTCTCTCTCCCATCTCCTCCCCCCCCCCCTTCCCCACCCACCCCCTTTTCCCACCCTCTTTCAAGCCGCCATATTTGAAACCAGCTGATAAACACATCAGGCAACCTCCTCCTCGGCACGGTCATAATATGGTTACGCTACAACATCGTTTTAAGCTTTTAGCAGAATCACTGCGGCCGTCGACGAATGCACTGTGGTCATTGAAATGATGGCGGTCATTGGGCAAAAGCACGTCCAAGCTTCAGTACGGTTAAAGTACGACAGCCGGAATAAATACTCCGCGAGCACTCAGCACCAAATTCGAGCGAGACGACAAGCGCGGCAGCTGAAGTGACATCGACCGCAGCTTTGACGTCGGTGGCGCCGCCTCGCGGAAGAAAACGGAGGCATCTCGACACCAACCGTCCCGCGCGAGGGAGAACCGCGGTCGAGTCCGGAGTAGCTAAGCCTCCCTAACTTTTCTGCGGATCGTAGCGAACAGTCAGGCACATCCAAATCGCTACATATCAAGGTCTAATTCGTACGAATGTCGACGGGAAGCCTCCCCAAAATGTGCGCCTGGACTTTCGACGCATCAACAATGTCTCCGAACTTACCGGTGTTGTGTGTGCGGACCCGGTTATGTTTCGTGTTTATGTTTTCTCTGGAGAAACGGGCGTCTCGCTCGAGCGAGACTTTTGCCTCCCTGAAAAGGTACGTTGTGTCCCTCTATGCAGATCTAAACGGCTTCCCCCGGTCTCTACCTTGTGCTGCCGCTCGTATGTGCACTTCGTTCGGCGGCGTGTTTTCGCTCTACCGATGTCAGCGTGTCGAGGCAAAAGCAAATGGGCCGACGACGAGCTCGGAAAAGATGTCCGTGCACGTACCGTTTGTTCTCCTCGGATTGGCTTGCTTTCTGCGCGTGCACTTGAGTCCTCCCTGCTCCATGATCTCATATTGTCGTGACAGTTCCTCCGTGTCGATCACAACGAAAACAACGGCAGAAGATACGGCTCACGACACGATCAACCGTCCACATGGCAAACATCGGTTACACTCTTCTACACTCTCTTTCCTTCTGTTTTTGTTTTGTTTTTCTGGCGCGATTCGCTTGCGGGTTGTAGCGCCCCGCGCGCGACCGGAGCGCACTGTGCTCGCGTCTCGAAGACTGTCAGAATGGCTGCACCGCGGGATGGGCGCCGGGCCGGTTGTCCCGCGTTGCCCCGGCTGTCCGCGCTCGGCTCCTTTGAAGGTGTCCGGTCCGGGGAACGTCCAGTTTTTGGGGTCCGAGAGGTGATGAGTGCACTTCGTGCGACTCGACTTGACAGTCGAGTGATCTAATCAATGGAGCGGGCGCTTCGCGAGGCCGCCATTGGTCGGGCGCGGGGCGGCCTCTATTGGATAAGGCGGGTTCACCTATCAGGTCGCCCCGCCTTTTCAGACGCTCCTCGCAGCTTGGCGACTTGCACTTCGCTGGCGGCCGCAACCGCCCGCCGAAAGTTCGCGATCGTCGGTGTCCCCCCGCTCGCACCCCGTTGGTCCCGGTAGTCGGAGGTCGCCAAGCTAGGCTACTCTTACCTACTACTTTCCCCCGAATTTGGGATGGCACAAGACATTTTTACACCGACCGTAAAACGCTGCAAAAAAAACAAAAAAAAAAAAAAAATTTTTTTTTTTTTTTATATATTTTTTCTTGGAGGGCGTGGGGATTAAACGGGGAGTACCCTCCAGAGTTGAATGGTCTTTAGGGGTATTTTGAATAAATAAATAAATATCCCCGACTATACTCTGCTTCATACTGCGACCCCATTTGCACGATCAGCCTCAAATTCCTTTAGCAGATAAGGTATCTTTGCAATCGGCAAATCACATCGCGCTTTTGGGCCACACGAAGGACCGCGAACTGATTTGCCGCTGTCCATATAGGTCCCTTGGCTAAAGGTGCCTTTATGATGTGAATGGGGCCGGTGGTGGTGGGATGGGGGGGGGGGGGGGACATTGCTGCCAAAGCTGCTGGCGCGAGCATGGGGTTGGATGTCGCAGATCATTTGCGCCCGTTCTCGTGCAAACGAAACCACGCGCTCGCGACCATTGTCCGAAATTCCAGCGCCCAGCGATCAAAATGGGAAATTTTCTCAAACGCGGGCTTTGTAAAGAGAGGGGCTGCGCATGAAACAAGATTTTTGCCTTTTATAGCACTCGTGGCATCGGTGTTGTTCTTGGAGCTTTGTGACTATACGTTGCTGACGTTGTTGCACCACGATATGTACAAAAGATTCCAAAAAGCGCGGCCCCCTACTGTGTCATGGTCTTTAGGTAAGAAAGGGAATATGAAAAGAGCTATGCCAAGCTATGCTCCAGAGTTTATTGGCCGTAGAGCTCTCGCGGGTATCGTCACAGTGTTTTTACCGTGAGATTCATTTCCTTACAGGGAAAGTGCATCCTGATTACGAAGAATAAACGTAATATGTTCGCCTGTTTGTCGTAATGTTTGTTTTTCCCGAGTGTTTCTTTTTCAGCTATATAAGAATGGTGTCTGCATAAACAGAACCGCTCTAGTGATCAAACTATTGAGATACCTAGTGGCGCAAATAATATTATTTGCATTAAATCTACACTCCAAGCTCCGCCTCTACACGCAGGGGCACTTTTCTGGTGCCTGGG